GAATTGACAAAGCCAAAAATACTTACAGTGAGAAAGTTTCAGAACTGCTTTAGTGACTATATTTATATATAATGACTTTTATGAATAAAGTATATCTTTGAAATAAAAAACAGAGTTTTTAGCCTGTCCACCGAGAAGCTGGTCAGCACTTAAATAACAGCTTTGGCAGAGGGTGGCAACAGATTTATTGTTGGAATAGTTTGAATGGTCGGCGCTCCCAGCTAAGAAGCGTCTGCGCATAATGTACCAGCACTGCCCTCTACAGGCACAGGGAGGCGTGGCTGAGAGGGTAAACCCTCGTCTCTTGAGAGACAACGGTGTGGCTTGAAGTCCCATTCCCATCCCTTGCAGAACCCAGTCTGCGCTGGGCAGGATAGTGCTGAAGGAGTGCTGCAGTGCCAGAGGTGCCCTCTTTAGGATGAGATGCTAAACTGAGGCTCCCTCTGCCTTTTTGGGATGGTTGAAGGTTGGGAACACTCCGCAGTGACCTGGCCAATCTTTATCTTCCGGCCAAAGATCCCTGCCCAATGTTGGTCTGGATCCCAAACACTGGCTTGGACCTCACAAGGAGCAGCAGTTACTGTCGGATTTTCACTGTGTTCAGACATTTCGCCAGCTCAATTTCTTCTGGGCCCCTCGTAGCCTGGCTTTGTCAGGAATAAAGAACGCAGCATCCCTCAGAGAGCTACATCATAGAACTGCAACCCCATCCCCCATATGATAGCACTGAATTCTAGTGAGGGGCCGAAAGGACAGAGTGGCAGATGGGTGAACTGGCAAGACACATGGGAAAAATGCAAGGTGGGTGGAGTGGCAGGGACAGTGAGGTAGGCATAGATGAGTTGGACCGAAGGGTCTGTTTCCATGCTGGATGACTCTGTGCCTCTGTGGTTTGAAGATAGTCTGTGTGTGAGGTGGGGTGTGGTTCGGTGAGGGGGTGCAGTCCGAGCTTCAGATGGTGCTGGATGGGGAGCAGGGGATTTAATCATTGGATGTTGAAACTTCCTGAAGCTTCCACTGCTCCAGTTCCTCTCTCAGAGTGCCTGGGATTTTGGGGCTGTCACCTGATTACCACAAGGGAGCTGAGTGTGGGATCTTGCTGTGTCCCATTTCCTACATTACAACAGTGCGTGGACTTCAGTAGGCAGCTGAGTTTCTCCTGAGGACGTCCTGAGGTTGCAAACGGCACTATGTAAGTGCAAGTCTCCTCTTGGGAGCTGCAGAAAATCCCGGAGCAAATTATTCTGGCTCTGAACGGTGGGATTTCGAGTGGGCTATGGCTGTTTCCAATCGCTGTTTGGATGCGAGAGATTCAATAACCTACTCCACCATCTGGACTGAGAGCTCCCAGTGGGACCGTGGCTGAGGTACAGGCCCCCTGGTCTTCTAGGCCGTATCCTGCACTAACAGAACAGGAAGGGCAGCTACACCTGACCATAAGGCACATGAACATCTACCATCTCTGCCCACCCTCAGAATGGCCCCAGTTACAGAGACTGCCAGCTCCTGTTTGGGACAACAGCTTGATGTTAGTGCTGAGGGTTGGGAAAGAATGCCCCCCAACACCCCGGCCCCCTTCGGGTGTTCTGGTAGGTGTGGGGACGGGGGGAAAGCTCTTGTTTGACATGGGCCTAAAGGAACAGAAGCACCCATTGGGCGTTCTGGTTGAACCCCTGACAATGCAGTACTCTGCCCAGCCTCGATAGGGCCCTGAGAGAGTCTCGCCCAGGATCACTGCATTCCACTCCAGCTAAAAGGAAAAAGGGTGAGGCCTACTTGGATAGAGAGAAAATACCAAAGAGAGGAACTTCCCAGCAGGCAGCTCAGCGGTCTACCGGACCATGCACAGATCCTTATAGGTGCAGAGTGACACTGGCTGTTCCCCTTCCTACTTCCCACAACCCCCTCACCCATCATCCAACCAAATAGCGGGTGTGACCACCTTCGCTCCAGAGTGTGAATGAGAGATGGCAGATAGCCTGCCGGTGTTTCAGCTGCGTCTTAGTCCAGAGTGCAGTCTGTGATATCATTTCTAACCAAACTGTTCAGTGACGCTATGACACACACCTCTGGAGCAGGCGGGAATTGGCTTCGGCCTCCTGGCACAGAGGTAGGGACACTGTCAATGTGCTAGAAGAACCTTCTAGAGGATGGTCTGTCAGGCAAATGAATAAGTGGAAACGTAAGAACCAGGATTGGAGAAGGGGAAGAACATAACCAGACTTAATTCTGACATTGTGGAGTCACGGAAATGATCAGAACTGGAGTGGGATGGGGACATCATTTCACTTGCAGCCCCTCCTTGCTCACTACTGGACATAGCAAATGTCATTGGTAACTGGTAATTTTGCTGGGTTAGTAACCCAGGGCTCCAGCTAATGCTCTGGGGATGTAGGTTCAAATCCCACCATAGCAAATGGTGAAACTTCAATCCATTAAAATCTGGAACGAAAAGCTAGTCTAATGGTAACCATTATCAATCATAGAGTCATACAGCACAGAAAGAGACTTTCTGGTCCAACCAGACCAAGCTAAACTAGTCCCACCTGCCCGTGTTTGGCTCATATCTCTCCAGCCCTTTCCTATTCATAAACATACCAAACGTCTTTTCAACATTGTAACTGTATCCACAGCCATCACTTCCTCAGGAAGTTCATTCACAAACCACTCTCTGTGTAAAACAGCTGTCCCTCATGTCCTTTCTCCTTTCAGCTTACAAATATGTTCTCTAGTTTTGAACACCCCCCATCCTAGGGGAAAAAATTCTTGTCATTCACCCTGTCCATACTCCTTAGGATTTCATAAAGCTCTATAAGGTCACCCCTCAACCTCCTACGCTCCCAGTGAAAATAGTCTGAGCCTTTCCAGTCTATTTTTATATCTCAAGCCATCCATTCCCAGCGAGATCCTGGTAAATCTTTTCTGAACCCTCCCCAGTTTAATAATATCCTTCCTATCGCAGGTTGACCAGAACTGGACACAATAATCCAGAAGAGGCTTCACTAACATCCTGTGCAACCTCAACATTACGCCCCAACTCCTATACTCAAAGGTCTGAGCAATGAAGGCAGGTGTGCTAAATGCCTTCTTAACCATCCTGAGTACCTGTGATGCAAACTTCAAAGAATTATGTACCTAAACCCCTAGGTCCCTCTGTTCTATAACACAAACAACCCATCTGGTTCACCAATGTCCTTTGGGAAATTTGCCGTCCTTGCCTGGTCTGGCCTACATGTGACTCCAGACCCACAGCAAAGTGGTTAATTCTTAACTGCCCTCTGGGCAATTAGGGATGGGCAATAAATGCTGTCCATCGCTGTCTCTCTTACCCTTGCCCCTATAGATGCTACTGAGGGTAGTAGAAATTGAGGCAGTCAATAGTTTCGAAAGGAAATTGGAGGCACTTGAAAGAAGTAAACACACAGCAAGAAAACCCCCATCCCTCCCTTCAAGGTGTCAACAGCTTTAACACTGCTATGGTTCCCTCGAGCCAGTGTGTGCCTTATTGATATGTGCTGAGAGTTGTTGGGGGCATAGAGTGAAAGCATAGGACAGACTGGATTTTACTACATACAGAAAGCCAACATGGATATCAAGGGCTGAATAGCCTCCTCTGCTGTATGAGGTAATGTGATGATGTCACTGTGTGTGTGTGTGTGTGTGTGTCTGTGTGTGTGTGTGTGTGTGTGTGTGTGTCACACACTCTGTCTTCCCTCTCCCTCAGCCCCGATATCAGAGGTCACAAACTAGCAACATGCAAAGCTATTAAATTACAATATAAAGGGGAACATCGATCCATCAATTCTGGATGGATGGTCACTGCTACACCTACATGTAAATGTTGCAGGCCTCACATCTCCAGTCCTTGGCCTGTGAGGAATTAATTGGCATCGTCTCCACACTTCAGGATAGTATGATTTGTCACACAGATAAGCATAGGTTTGTTCAGAATGTACATTGCTTTCTTCATTAACAAAGGGAATAGGCATCGTTCACACTTCTGTACAAACACTACTGTTATACAAACCACAACAGCTATGTAAAAACATTATACTCTGATTGACGCTTGACCATTCTCCAGTGAATGTAATAGTTCCAGTCACATTGAGTACCACACTGTGAAAAGAAAGGGAGGGTTAGTCTGATGGACAATGAGATACCAACAACCACTCAGGGCAAAGTCTAACCTCGTTACTCAACAAGCAGGAGTTTTTTCTTATCTTTGAGGCAATGGCTGTGCTCACAGCTCTTCAATCACGGCTGTTTTCTGTTGTACATTCATTTTGAAGCTTACACCAGCTTCCTACAGCACCGTCGGACAGCTGTAGCGGAAAGACGCTGTGACACCTGAAAGGGTTCAGAAAAGATTTCCAAGCATGTCGCCAGGATTGGAGGGTTTGAGCTATTGGGAGATGCTGAATGGGATACAGCTGTTTTCTCGGGAGCGTCAGAGGCTGAGGGGTGACCTGCATATAAAATCATGAGGGGCATGGATAGGGTGAACAGCTTTTTCCCCAGGGAAAGGGAATCCAAAACTAGAGGGCACAGGTTTAAGACAAGAGGGGAAAGATTTAAAAGGGACCTAAGGAATGACCTTTTCAATCAGAGGGTGGTATGTGTAGAATGAGCTGCCAGAGAAAGTGGTGGAGACTGGTACAATAACATTTAAAAGGCGTCTGGATGGGTACATGAATAGGAAAGGTTTAGAGGGATATGGGCCAAATGCTGGCAAAGGAGAATAGGTCAGATTGGGATATCTGGTCGGCATGGATGAGTTGGACTGAAGGGTCTGTTTCCACACAGCACAGAACTCTATGACTCTAGTTCTATGGGCAGAGATCCACCAGATTTGCTTTTTGTTAAAAAAAAATCAGCTATCTGATAAGCTGTGGATCCTTGCAATTGCCTGCAATGATACAGAGCAGATGAAAGGAAGAGTTTGGTCAAGGGAGGTTGCCAGGTCCCACACAGAGAGAGCGCAAACTGCACATCAGCAGGTGGTGGTGGGCAGTTGCTACCCAGTCAAGGATCTCGCTGTGTCATGAACTGGCTGTGATGGAATACTCCAAGGTTTCCTAGATGAGTGCAGATCCAACATCCTCAACCCCAGCCAGCATCCCATCCACCACTGTTAGCACTCACTCCCTCCGCCACCGAAGCTCAGTAGCAGCAGTGTGTCCCATCTACACGACTCACCATGGCTCCTCAGACCATACCTTCCAAATCTGAGACCTCTACCATCTGGAAGGACAAAAGCAGCAGATACATGGGAACACAACCACTTGCAAGTTCCCCTCCAAGCCATTCGCCATCCTGACTTGGAAATATATCAGTGATCCTTCACTGTCACTGGGTCAAAATCCTGGAATTCCACCCCTCCACCTCAGCCTAATGGCATTGTGGGCCAATCCACAGCACGTGGACTGCAGAGGTTTAAGAAGGCAGCTCACTACTTCTTGAGGGCAACTAGGGATGGGTAATAAATGCTGGTGGTGTCCCCATCCCAGGGATAAATAAAAACAATAATTGCCGTGACAAGGAACCATCAAGCAATCAGTCTTGAGGAGATTCAAGTGGGAAAGAGTCAACTTACAACCTGCAGGCCTCTTGCAGTTGAGGAGGTTAGGTCAGAAAGGAGGTGAAGTTGGTTTCTGCTGCTGGTGTGAGAAAGGTTAATGGACTAAATAGTGGAACGCGTGTGTCAATAATGTGTTTGATTTGCTGCTTCCTTTCTCTGCAGCACAGGCAGAGGTCAGCTTCAACCTTCAGGTTCTGTGCTGTCTTCAGGACAAACTCACCTGCTATAGAGGTCTCTGCAACAGGTTAACAGGTTGTCACCGGTCACATTGAAAAAGCTGCTGTTGAGGTAGCTCACACAGTGTACAGATTCCATAGGCACAATGAGGATTCCTAATGCACAGAAAATAGTTCACATAAGGCACGGAAGGAGGCTCTTCAGCCCATAAAGCCTGCTTTGGTTCTATCCCCTGCCTTTTACCCCCATCCCTACACTCCATTTCTATCCAACTAACCATCCATTGAATGCCTCAATTAAACCTGCCTCCACCACATTTCCAGGCATTCATTCCGTCCCCTCACTATTCACTGTGTGCGCAGCATAGATTCCCTACAGTGTGGAAGCAGGCCCTCTGAAGAGCATCCCACCCAGACCCACCCCCCTATCCCTGTAACCCTGCATTTCCCATCTAGCTAGCAAATCCCTGAACACAACAGGGCAATTTCCCATGGGCAATCCATCCTAACCTGCACATCTTTGGACTGTGGGAGGAAACCGATGTGGCATGGATAAAACGTGCAAACTTCATACAGACAGTTGCCCGAGTCAGGAATCGAACTGGCACTGTGAGGCAGCACTGAGTCACTGAGCCACTGTGCTACTGTTCCTTCTCACATCATCCTCACTTTGTTTGCACATCACTTTAAATCTATGCCCCTTTTGTTCTTCTCTGTTTTATGAGCAGATTAGCTTCACCCTATCTATACTATCCAGCTCACTCATTATTTTGAACACCTCTGTCAAATCTCATTTCTCCAGGTTGAACAATCCCAACTTCTTCAAGTTCTGAGGAAGGATCCCTGGTCCCAAAATGCTAACTCTAATTTTCTATCCACAGATGCTGCCCGGTTTCTCCAACAATTTCTGTTTTTGTTTCTGTTCCCAACTTCTTTAATCTACCTTCATCGCTGAGGCTCCTCATTCTTGTAAATGCTTCTGCGCTCTCCCTCCAATGCACACACATCTTTCCTACAATGTGGTGGCCACACAATGACTGAGAGAGGGCCAGCAGGAAATGGGACCTTCAGGCATCATTGGCTCTGTTTTAATTGGGTAAGGGGTAGGGGAGCAGGCGACATGCTCCAGAGTCGAGAATAGATCCCCCCTGCTCACCTGCGACACACGCATTCGCCAGCGATGTGACAAATCCTGTAAACAGGGCGTGCATGACAATTGACGCTATCTCGCTCTTACGGTTTGGAGCCATGGCAGCTGCAGAGACAAAAGGGAGTTGATTCTCAGGGACAGGCAGGTTTGCGTTCATGTATTGCCTTTCAAAGCAGCCACCTTTCCTTTTTCGCATGCAGTGACCGATTGTGATGTTGGTTGAAGGGTGCGCACTGGCCAGGACACCTGGCAGAAATCTCTCACGAGGCAGTGGTGTAATTGTAACATCACCAGGCTTGTAATGTAAGGGTCTAGATAACTCTTCATCAGAGCTGATGTGAAGTGTGGAGGGGGATGGCATTTTTGCTTCTAGCAACGTAAGATCATTCAGCTAATGTTCTGGAAGGTATGAGTTCAAATCCCATGTCTACAAACAGTTTTTTTTTAACAAGGTCAGGTGACCCATGTAACCACATTTGATTCATTTTGTTTACTGATTAGAAACAGTTATCAGTTAAGTCAAAGTGTTCCCTTACTCTTCAACCAGAAAGTCGAGGATCATTTAAAGGCATCGAGGGGCATTAGGGAAAAGAGTAGGAATATGGCATTGTGATAACAGATCAGTCATGATCCATACTAAATGGTAAAGCAGGATCGAAGGGCCAAAAGACCTGCTCCTACACAACCATGGCATGTTTGAGATCCACCCGAGAGAGAAGGAAGGGTCTCAGTTTCATGTCTGCCCTGAATGGCAGCATCTCTGGCAGTGTAGGGCACCCTCAGTCCTGCATTGGACAGTCAGTCTCCAGTTTCTGAAGTGGGGCTTGAACCTACAACCTTTGGAATTAGAGGCGAGAAAGTTTCAGCAGAGACCTGATGTTGGGCCTCAGGTAGGATTCCTTTTGCTCAGCTTTAAGGCCATCGAGTCAAAGGAGGCAAGTGAAGCAATCTGCTTTGAACACTATGTGCATTGTTCAGTATTGAATATAACCACTTGTGTGTGTGTGTGCGTGTGCGTGTGCGTGTGTGTGTGTATGTGTATGTGTGTGTGTGCGTATGTGTCTGTGTGTGTGTGCGCGTGTGTGTGTCTGTGTCTGAGTACGTGTGTGTCTGTGTGTGGGTGTGTGTCTGTATGTGGGTGTGAATATGTGTGTGTGTGTCTGTGTGTATGTGTGTGGGTTTGTGTGTCTGTGTGTGTGTCTGTGTGTGTGTGTCTGTGTGTGTGTCTGTGTGTATGTGCGTGTGTGTGTCTGTGTCTGTGTGTGTGTGTATGTATGTCTGTGTGT